TTCAGCATCTTAGCTGTGGAGGGCAGTGTCACTGGCCCTCATATGTGGGATCCGAACCGGGGCCCTCTGGCGTTCCAAGCCAGCTCTTAACCATCGTGCCACTCAGCACTTCCTTTCTGAGCAGTGAGTTTGAAGATCAGAGTGGAGCTGTGCTCAGGCCAGGGTGCGGGCAGGGCCTCAGGGGTCCACAACGGCTGGACCATCAGACACAAGTGGGGTCAGGAGAGGCCAGGAGTCAGGTGCCCACCCTGTGACCAGGCCCAGGCATGGCAGGCTCTGGCCATGTGGGGACGCTGGAGTCGGGGAGGGGGACACCAGCTGGACTGTAGGCTGAGAGTGGGGGGAGTCACAGAGGAGAGGGACTGGGCAGTGGGGACAGGGCCCTCTCTCCCTTCTCAGACCCCACAGGGATGGGCTGTGAGAGGACAGTGTAGAGTGAGGACAAGGCAGGACCTGTCCCGGAACGCTGTCCCGTGAGGGGGTGGCAATGGGACCTGGGAGGGCTGCTGGCTGGAGCTGTGGAGCTGCCCGCTCCTCTGGGCCCTGAGCCTTGGCCACCTGCGCTCGGGCCCTGTAGTGGCAAGGTCAAGTCTCTTTACCTTGGCCTAAGAGCCCTGTCACCATCTGGGCCTGCTGAGCCCAGGACAGGCCCCTGGGGGCTTCCGGAGCTGACTGCCTGTTTCCTGAGGAAGAAGGGAGGGAGCAGGTGGGCCGGGGTGACCTGGGCACAGTGTGGGTGTCGCGTGGATGCACAGCTGAGCTGCAGCTCGTCCTGTCCATCCCTGCCCTGTGCCGCCCTGCCAACTGCCCAGTTCCAAGACCACACCCACTCAGCCCCTGGGGAAACACCTTTTCCAAAAAGCCCCTCCTCACAGTGCGTAATTTGGGCTTGGTTGCCAAATTCCCCAAAAGTTACACCCCCCACCACCACCACTTCTCCCACCCCTGCACACACGCATAAAGAAGACACAGGCTCCCAGGAGGATGGTGCTGCCAGGCCTGGGGTCGCACATGCTGCCTAGGGCCACCTCAGTCAGGGTGTGACAGGGTGACCGTGGGGAGGGTGTGTTGCGAGGGGAGTCCCTCATCCTGGCGGGTGGGGGAGAACCAGCAGATCTGTCCCCCAGTTTCCAGGGCTTCCTGTGTGTCTGAGACCCCTCTTCAGGGAAGAGCAGGGGAGTGAAGCTTGTGGGGTGGGGGACTTTGTGAAGGGGCAGCACAGCCCCAGGTGGGGGCTAGGGCTGGGTGAGGCCCGGGAGGGGACCCCCACCGAGCTGCCCACCTCTGCAGGCTCTCTGGCCTGACCAGGAAGCAGGCAGAAGAGGCTTAGACCCCAGCATCCACCCCCCACCCCACCCCCAGCTGACAGGACCTTGGGAGCTGGAGAGAGGGGACAGACCCTGGGAGGGTGAAGACGCCCCCGATCAACCTAGCAGACTGGCCCTTCCCCACCGCAGTACCTCGGAGCCCCCCAGGGCCATTGCACACCCGCCGAAGGATTGTGAGGCCAGGGTGCACAGTGGCCAGGGCTCCACCTGCACTGCCCCAGGGCTAGACGGTGGGCTGTCCGGCATCACCCACCACCCACGGCCGACTGCAAGACGAGGGGCGTGCACAGGGTTCCCCCTACGTGTCCATGCTGGGGTCCACCTCTGGTGTCCTCCAGGCAGACTGGGAATGGGAGTGGGCTCCAGGAGAGGGGCTCAGAGAGGGAGAGCCATGGGCTCTGGCCACTGTGGGACCTGCCTGTTGACAGAGAGGCCTGGGCACCAGCAGGAACCCTGGGAAAGTCTGACCGCTGACCTCCCTAGGACAATGGGGGACGTTGAAACATTATCTTCGCTGCGTTTGTGTGCACCCACACCGCACATGTACACACATGGACACACACACGGGCACACACAGTCGTGCACCGCCACGCCCCTGCTGTGTCTTCGGAAAGCTCCCTGCGGGCTGCCCCTATCAGGGAGGAATGCTCTGGCAGAAAGCTCTATTGTTTTGAAGGAAGTTATCTTATTTCTTAGGTTTGTGCAGATTAACTGAAAGCTGGGTTTTTTCCACCCTATCAGTTGCCAGGACTGGAGACCCTGGACAGCAGATGTCCCCCAAAGCAACTGTGCACTTTAGCAAGGTCCCCTGACTCCATCCGGAGGGCCGGCAGTGGGAGAGGCTGGAGGAAGGCCTGGGGCTGTCCCTGGAAGTAGACCCCACTGCGGGGGCGTGACTGGCCTTGTCTCCGGTCCCCACCCCCACATCCAGGGGCCTGCTTCAGGTCTCACCTGCCAGAAAGACCTCAGGGGATCCAGGGGCTGGTACCTGGTGGTCCCCAGGTCCCACAGCGCCATGTTAATGGCATCCTCGAGAGCAGTGCCCACAGCTCCCTGTGCATCCCCCACTGGCCTGGCCCTTCTCCAGGGCAGAGTGGGCAAGGTGGCTCCAAGTGCGCGGAGCTGCCCCCACCTTGGAGCCAGGGGTGCCCAAGAGGACCCTGCTAGAGTCATCTGGGGACAGCCAAGTCTGTGCACAGCTCATAGCTGTGTGTGAGCGGAGGGGCATGGGACAGAGCTGGGCACAGCGTGGGAGGTTGTGGCTTCTCCATCTCGCCTTGAGTGCTGATAAAGGTGGTCAGAGCTCCGACCCTTGGCAGATTATTTCTGGGGATGGGGAGGGGCACCATGAAGCAAGGACAGCCCCTCCTGCTCCCTCCCCTTCCTTACCTGCTAGGGGAGGGGCTGCTTCATCCTTCAGCAGCTACCCAGATAGTGGGACCAACCTGGCTTGGATTTGGATGAGGATGGAGGAGAAACTTATAGAAGGGGTGGGGGTTGTAAAAGAGAGAAAGACAGACTCAGCTTCCAGGAGAGGGTGGGGAGGAGGGTGTGCACAGAGAGAGAAAGGGGGCCTGCAGCTGCTCTAGGGGAAGGGGCTGGGGTGGGGGAGGCCCGAGAGGGGGTGAGGAACGCGCCCCCCCAGCTGCTGCCCTGCCCTCAGCCCAGGCTCCTCAGGAAGTCCCTGTTGGCCCCCAGACTCAATGCAGACTCAGGTAGTCCTGCACATTTCTCTGTGAAAGACAGAGCTCCTGCGTGTGCACATAGGTGTGTGTACAGGTGTGTGAGTACAGGTGTGCAGGTGTGTGTGTGTAGATGTGTGCATGGCCCACAAAGTGTGTGTTCAGGAGTGTGTGTGTGTGTGTGTGCGTGTGCGATGTGTATGCCCCATAGGTGTGTGTGTGCAGGTGTGTGTAGGTGTGCAGGTGGTGCATGCACATGCATGCTCATAGGTATGTTCATACAGTGTGTCCCCAGGAACGGGCTCATGGGCCACATCTATTTAGGGGATGGGGACTGGCCCGGACTTTTCGGAGCCTGTGAAAAGGGGAGGAAGGACTAGCCCCCCAGCCGTGCAGGCTGTCTCTGCAGAGACGAGGGTCTCCCTCTGCCTGGGTTCAGAGAAATGCCAGCCCCCAGGGGTGCTGCTGTCACCCTCACAAGAGGCTGTGACCTTGAAGCCATGGTCTCTGCGCAGCTCATAAGTGCCAGAGACATTGTGAACTTTCTATCAGCCTTCCTGTGGGTGCTGCCCACCAGGCTAAGGATGAACCACTGCCCTTGGAACCGCAGGGGGCCAGGGATGGGCAGAGCCCCTCCCGCCCTGCCCTGGGGAGCCTGGGCCCAGGGGCACCATCCTCTGGCAAAAGGCCCCAGGCTGGCCCTGCACTGATGACGCCTGCTAGAGCCAGAGGCTGAGAGGCCTGGGTCTAGCGGGGATGGTGACCTTGGCCATGGCTGGCCTCTCTGGTCAGTGCTCACCCTGCCATTGCAGAAACTGTCAGTGCCGCCCACCCACTGCCACCCTCCCCACGTCCTTCTCCAAGTCTGGCTGTGGTGGGAGCTGCTCAGGCACTTGTCACAGGCCTGGTTCTGGGTCTTCAGAACCCTGATGAGGTCAGCCCTCCCCAGGGACCACTGGGACCCCACTCCCTGGCCTGTGAGGAGGCGTGTGAGGCCGCCACCTTGCAGACCCCTGTTGACAAGCCACCTGGCAGCTGCCCACCCTGCGTGGGCTGCCTCATCCTGTTCCAAATCGATGGAGCAATCCAGTGACCTGCCTGTCACCACAGCCTGTCAATCTAGGGAGGCCTCTGGAGAGAGGTGGCCCTCTCTGTAAGGTGGGCCCATATCCTCAGGTCCCCTGCTGGAGGGAGACACCTCAGCGGTGAGCAGCCCTGGCCTTGACGCCCCAGGTGACAGGACAGGCCTGAGTCCCACAGTGTGCTGCTGGGCCAGGTTGTGGGTAGAACCAGTGCAGCCGGGGCCACGAGCTAAGGAGGGGCATGTGCCCATGGCCAGAGTGGCCCTAGGCTGAGCAGGGGCAGCCATAGCCAGGGCCCCAGAGGCTGGCTGCGCGGAAGCTGCACCCCACATGCCGGGCCCTCGGGCTGGACTTCACCGGCAGACTCCGTACCCTGGCCTGTCTCCCATCACCCCCTGGGACCAGCTGGGTCTTTCAGGACCAGGTACAAGTGGGGCCTGACAGACATCCCCTCCCGGGGTCACCAAGCTTAGAGAGGGAATGATGACGGGGTTTGTGAGCGAGGGGTCCCAGCCTCAGCTGGGAAGTGACCAGAGACCCCAGAGGCTGGGCAGCACCAAGGCACATGCCCCCGCCCCCATCTGGGCTGCTCTGGGCAGGTCTCTGGGACCAAGAGGGAACCAGCCCTGAGACGCCTCCCCCGGCCCCCTCCCCCCAGCCACCAGTGACAGGGCCCAGCCTGTCCTGGTTAGAACCACTTACATAAGCAGCCCTGTGGGGAGCAAGGCTGCAGCTGGGCTTTGCCAACGCATCCTCCCCGCCCGCCTCCCCCATCAAGAGTCTGAAGGCCAAGCCAGGCCCATAAATAGGGGTCTCCCCAGTGGCCTCTGCCTGTCCCGTCCGCCTCCCTCACTCTGCCCAACTGCTGCCACCAGGCCCCAGACACCTGCTCCGCTCTGGGAAGATGGCCGCTCTGCACATGCCGTGGCCGGGGCTGGTTCTGCTGGGGGTCCTCGGGATCCTGCAGACCCAGGCAGAGGCCCAGGTCTCCCTGCAGCCCAACTTCCTGCAGGACAAGGTGAGGTGCTCCCCTGCCAGGTCCCCAAGGCGGGAAGGGGGTGCTCTCTGTGGCTGAGTTCTCTCCCTGGGAAGTGGGGAGCTGAGCAGAGGGAGAAGGCTGACCTCGGAAAGGCCGCCCCTGGGGCAATGGCGCTTCACCAACCAAGAGAGCGGAGCCATGCATACCGGTGTCCACGAGTGCGCACATCGCACATGCAGACACGCGGGCCACCTGTGTGCCTTCGCCATCCAACCAAAGTCACCCCACTGAGCTCATGACACCCCGAGGGAACAGGCACACGTTCCACACTAGGGTCCCAGGACACATGTCCGTGCGCTAGCGCGCAGATGGAGATGACGCAGGGGGATGGCGCACGGGGTGGCCACAGAAACCTGAGGGCGCGTGGGTCCACGCCCTGCATACACACAGCCGGAGGCGCGCGCACGCTCGGGGTCTGCGTGGGGACGCGGCGGTGCCTGTCCGCCCGCCCCCCCCCCCCCGGGCTGCCCCTATCAGGGAGGAATGCTCTGGCAGAAAGCTCTATTGTTTTGAAGGAAGTTATCTTATTTCTTAGGTTTGTGCAGATTAACTGAA